CCCCAGATCGTGCCCACCACCTACACGACGCGCATCGGCACCCTGCTGGAGACCGGCTCCTACAGCGTCAGCGAGTACGCCGTGCCGCTGCTGGCGCCGGGCGCGGGCGGTCATGGCAAGAAGGACCCCTTTGTGGACCTCATCTACGACCTCAGCCCCATCGTCATGAACGTCCGCCAGTCCCCGCTCGACCTGCTGCACTTCCTCGTCCGCCTCTGCGCCGTCGTCGGCGGCGCGCTGAGCGTGACGCGGCTGTTTGACGGCCTGGTGCACGGCGTGGTGCGCGGGCTGGGCATGTTTGAGGAGGAGCTGCGGCGCAGCTCGGGCGGCGGCGGCCGCGGCGTGTCATCGCTGAGCGGCGGCGGGTTCCTGCCCACGAGCAGCGGCAGCGGCAGCCCGCACGGCTCGCTGCGCGACGCGCTCGGCGGCGTGGCGGCGTCGCTGCTGCGGCGCAGCAGCGCCGGGAGCGTCGGCAGCGGGCTCGGGGGCGGCGGCAGCAGCAGGGGTTACTCCTCGGGCGGCAGCGAGGGAGGGGCGACGCGGTTCGGCGGCGCCGCCCCCATGCAGATGTCGTCGCTCAGCGGCTTTGCGCCCCCGGTGCTGAACGGGTTTGGCTCCTGGAGCGAGATCAAGAAGGACAGCCTGGCGTGACCTGGGCGGCACTTTGTTGCTTTCGGGACGCGTCTGACCACGACCACCATGCAGCAGGAATCTAGTATTGTGACAGCCGCTGCCGCGAATGTCAAACTCCTGGCCGGGCGTGGATGCAGGCGGAACGCCGGCAGGCCGGGGGTGGATATTGCACAGGCGCGTTTGCACTGGATTTAGGCCGCTGGCAGAGGCGGGCCGTGTCCAGTGCGGCAGTGTCGCTCCTGAGGCGAATGGCAATAAGTAGGTCGGGCTGGAAACCCTTTGTTCGGCGCAGGCGGGAAAGCACAGGGCATGTTCTATTGGACTCTCCGACAGCCACATGTCTTTCATGGCGAGCGCCACCTTGCAAACCGAGTTGGTTCACCACGCCATGGCGACAAGAGCGAGCGGTCGGCGCAGCAGCGCGAGAGGGCGCGGCAGGGCGCCGCACGGGACATGCCAAGCAGAGGAGGGACGCTGTGCAGTTATGAAGCCCAGAGAGCACCAGCGCCCCAACGCAGACGCTGGAGCGCAAACAGAGCAGTCGGGCATCCAGAGCCGTTGTCGCCGCTTGCATGTGGTCCTCATCTACAGCACGCTCATGACATGATTAATTAGTACAATTCGTACGATTCATGGCATTCATCAAAAATTCAGGTAGTGTGGGGTAGCCCAATGCCAGCTGCCACCATATCGACCTCAGGGACGGGCCGCCGCGGCATGCTGTTGCAACCGCCATCTGGGCTGGCCGCCGGCAACATCGGGTGGCGGGCCCGATGCTCAAGGGTCTGCTAAACAGCACTCTCAACCCCGGATGAGGAGGAGTGATAGGGTTGAATCAAGTGGGATCATCGACAACGCATGCATAGATCATACTTCGCTCGTGTTTGCTAGTTCATTGTCGTATCGTGGTACCGTGTGAAGCAGACTATGATACTGTACCTGCTGGCTGCCAGGAAGCTCATTGAGTCAGAGGCAGATTTCAATTTTCAACTGCACAGCGACACAGCCATTCAAGCGGTGGCAGGCTCATGCAGGGATGACGGTAGCTTGCAGCATATATACGCCACTCTGAGTCCTTTTCAGATCCTGTGTGTGGGTCTCACCTCCGATTCTGCAACATCGCGAAGCAATCGGCTGTGTCCATTTGTTATGGCTCTTTGAAAGGCTACTGTCACACGTGCTGCGCGCCTGCGGCTGGCCAGTTGCGGGCACCCCCGCTGCTGCGCCGCTGCTTTCTTGCCGGTGCAGTGGATCGCCAGCGCGCGTCAGGGAGAGCGCGGCGCGACCACCCCACCACTGCGCAACGCCGCATGCCCGGCCATGAGCGAATGCGAGGAGTACAGGGCTGAGGCGGACGAGGGCGCGCAGTCGGCGGAGACGGAGACCGACAATGAGGGGGTTGCCCAGGCGGTGAGAGCGCGCGCGTCAGCCGCGGCACCGACGGGCGGCGCCGCGCGCCAGCCGGGCGGCGGGGGCGCTCCGCGCGGCCCGCCAGACATGTTAGTGGCGCCTTGGCTGTGGGCGATGGGCAAGATCTCCAAGTACGGCTGAGCTGGTGCTGGACCAGCACCCGGCCTGTGGCCCGTAGCACCCCCCGCCCCCAAACACACGCCCGCCGCGCCGACCCCCGCAGCCCGCGCCCCGCCCCGGCTCGCCCCCGCGGCGGCGGCCCCCGAAGCGCCCCGCCGGCGGCGCCGTCACGCTGCGCGCGCTCGTGGACCGGGGGCTGCTGGTGGCGGGGGAGGGGGTGATTTCTATGGAGTACAAGGGGCAGCAGACGACTGCCAGCCTGGCGGAGGACGGGCGCATACAATGGCAGGGTGCGCGCCGGCGCACGCAGCGGGGCGCCGGGCGGCCGCGGGCCGCCGGGGCGCGGGGTTCTGGGGCTTAGATAGCAGCTGAGTGCATGGCCGGCGGGGCGCCAGGCCCCTCGCCTGCGGCCGCGCCGCCAATCCCCCCGCCGCTGCCCAAGCGTCCCTCGCCTGCCACAATTCCCCGCCAGACCTCTTTTTCGAGTCCCCCAGCGCCTTCTCAGTCTTCATAAAGCGCCTGGCCACACCCGGCCGCCAGGCGGACGACGGGTGGAAGTCGGTGCGGTATGGGGGGAAGCTGCTGGAGCGGTACAAGGATGACTACCTCGGGCAGCGCGGCGGCGGCGGCGGCGGCGGCGAGGGCGAGGGCGGCGGCGGAGTAGGGTGCGGGCGCGCCGGCGGCTGCGGCGCGCCGGCGCCGGCGGGGGCGGAGGATGGGGGGAGCATGGCGGCGGCTGGCGGGCCGGCAAGGAAGCGGCCGCGGATGGGGGACGCGGCGGCGGTGCCGACGGG